TAAACATACACATGTTTTTGCATGGTCAATAACATACAAGTAAACATCTTTCTGGTTTTGTTTGCTTTAAGCCAAGATCCATCTGATATCCCTGGTGACAGGGCCTTGTCTAAATCCAGCTTGAATTTCTAACAGTTCTCTGTCAATGTACTATTCTAGCCATTTTTTTTTCCGTAATCTTCAGCAAAATTGCTTGCCTGTGACATTAATAATATTATTTGATAGTTTCCACATCCCGTTTTATCACTTCCTCCCCCACCCCACAAATAAGAACAAATAGAGAACTCTTTCAGTTGTTAGCCAGACAACTGTTCTCCAAATTTCCTAGCATAGACTGTTGAGCACATCCAGGCTACATTTGTTAGTTGAAACATGTCAATTGGTATCCCATCCATTCTGGAGGTTTTATGTTTTGCTGATGCCTCAGTGCAGACTGAACTTCTTCCTTCACCACCACTGGCTCTTGATCATCTGGTACTTCCCGCAATATTTCAGGGTTGGCCAATTCTATTTTCCTCCACAGTGACCCCATGTATTCCCTCCATCATCTTTTGATGCTTCGTACATCATTCAAAACTTTACCCATCTTTCTTAGTATTGCAACCTGAGGCTGGAAGTTGTTTTTCAGTTCTGTCGGTTTGAGAAATTCTGAGCGAGTTCTTCCCTTTTTATTCTCCATTTCTGAAGCTGTGCACATTCCGTTATCTTTCTCTTTGTCTCCTTTAGCTTCCCTTTGACATCTTCAGTTCAGCTCTTTCAGTTCAGCATCTCGTCCCTTAGTGCAATTGTCAGTCTCTTCTGACACCCATTTTGATTTCCCCCCATTCTCATCAACCACATGTAACAATGAGAAAATGTGAGGAAAATAAATATCTGTCCTTTAAAATCACACACTTGTGCTATTTCAGTTATAGCTGTACAAAACAAAAACAAAACCAAACAAAACAGAAGCCAACCAAAAAAAAATACAAGAACACAAAACCCCCAAAACTCAGCAAAGGCAGATGAGCTACATGTTGTAAATGCTTTCTGAGGAAAGGGATACTAGGAAGCTTCAGGTTGGCCAACACTGAATTTTTAGATTGGGAAGAGAAAAGTTGAGCCACTTCAAGGACCTGTTCCCCCTCTACTTCCCATACATAGTGCTGTCTCTTCTGGGATGTCACCTGCTTTCTGTGAATATACTTATTCTTGAATTATAAGAGTGATACCTTTTGTGTTTGACTCCTTTCACTCAGTTCAATGTTCTCCCAGGTTCAATGACGTGGTACAATGTTTTGCAGATTCATCGATTCATCACTACACTTTATCACTGCATAGTATGTCATTGTATATATGACAACAATTTGTTTATCCATTCATCTGTTGATGAGCATTCAGGTTGCTTCTGTATTTTTGCTGTTGTGAATTCTGCTGCAGTGAACATAGGTGTACACATGTCTATTATGCCACTGCTCATACCATGGACTGCCAAGGAAACAAATCAGTCTATCTTGGAGATGGTGAAACCAAGTCTCTCCTTCGAGGCTAGGATTTTGAAGCTCTATCTCACATACTTTGGGCATGTGGCCAGGAGAGATGGATTCTTAGAGAAGGACGTCATGCTCGGAATGGTGGCAGGACAGCGCAGGAGAGGAAGACCCCAGATAAAATGGATTGATACAGTAACTGGGGCAATAGGGGTTGGTGTGTCAGAGTTAGTGGGACCGGCTCAGGACAGGGAAGGGCTCGGAGCTGCTGTACTTAGGGTCACTATATGTCACAGGCGACGCAACGGCACATAACAACAAAAAACATACTATAATGGCTGTTTTTTTATTTTAGCGTCATGTTTAGAGTCAACAAGACCTCAAGGAGGGCCTTTGTATTTAAAAGTCAGTTGCTATTTTGTTTTGGGGGAACATTCTTCTAAGTGGTTCAGCACTCTCTGTCAATATGCTGTACTGAGGTAACCTGGGGTTGCTATGATGCTGAGTCTTGTGCCATTGGGGTGTCAAATGCCATAACGGTTACCCATAGTGGACAGTGTTTGGGGAGCTCCCAGTTTAAGACAAGTTTGGAAGCAGGAGTGGCATCCACTTCCTAAACAACATGCTTTCGGAAACACTATGAACTTTGATAAATGTCGACAGTTATAGAAAAGCTTCAGGCCTTTTGTCCATGGTGTCGCTATGAGTCGTGCTTGATTCAATTCCAATCAACAAAAACAACAACTATTAGCAAATATATCTACTCATGTCACTGTCATTTCTCTATAATATATACTAAGGAGTGGGACAGTTTTATTTTATAACACTAACTTTAATATCTACAATGTAATCACACTTCTCCCACTTCTTCCCTGTATTTCCCCTATCCATTAATCCTCCTATCTTACCTTTCCCCCTGAATTCTAAGCTTTATGCATGGGAAAATCCGTGCTTTTGACCTAACTATATAGGGTGTAACAAAACCCATTAGCAAGAGAATGAAGTAAATCTGAGTTTGAGCTTTACTCACATTAATTACTTGACCTAAGCAAATGACTTGCCTTCCCTTCCACTTCCTTATCCTTCAAGTGTGAGGTAATAATCACACTATTTTGCGGTCTGGCTTGGAAGGGTAAGGAGACAACCCATTAAAAGGCTAAGCCCAGAGGCTCGTATAGGAAATGCTTAATAGGTCAGCAGTTTGATAGGTATCGCCATTGCTGTGTTGCTTTTTTCACCCTCTTTGCTTTGAGGGCATGTGTGGTACTATCCCAGGTCAAGTGGTATATCCTTTGTCTATAGAGGACACCACTTTCTGTGGACATGGCTGTATGTGACGGGCCTTCTTCAGAGCCCACGGGGAACTCTGGGAAGAACAGAGGCCAAATAAATAGCATTCATTCCCGGAGAAAAAGGGAAAGGTAGGCAGCTCTCTGATGCAGGGTACAAAGAAAGAGGTGTGCTGGTTGGAGTCACAGAGAGAAGAGTCACAATGGACTTTTGACCTGAAGCTATCAAAGGAGAGGGAAATGGCCAGGGGCAGTACAGAAAGAGTCTTGCTCTGATCCACCAGATGCTCTGCTGGAGAAGGAGGCCAATCTCCTCCTGTACCAGTCAGATCTGATTTGACGGTACACACACACACAAATAATAATTTTTTTTTAAAAAAGAGTCTTGCTCTGGAAAGCAGCCCCCAAGTCACCACCCCTTGACCCTTCTCACAGGCCCACCTGGAGCTCTTGCTTCTTCTTGCCCTGCCTCCGCTCCAGCCACTCCATCACCCGTGTCAGGTCAGACATGCGCCTTTCATTGGCTGTCTTCCACATGGACTTGTGCTCAGTGGGCCACATGTCCTTCATATCTTCTGCTTTCTCAAATATGATGGAGTCCTCTCCAGGCTTTGGCTGAGAGGATGACATTCTCGCTTTCTTGAGCCCTCTGTCTCCACTTGCTGACTTGGATGACACAGAAGGTAGGGTTTGGCCATCAATAAGGACATAAAGGGCAGAGTTTGATCATAGAGACAGTAGAGGACCAGGGTGGGCCTTGATTGTGAGGTCACTGTTAGGCTTGGTAGCTGGCCCAGGGTCTGGGAGAGGATGAAACCCGGTTTCTCTTTTGGAGGCAAGGATTTTGAAGCTTCATCTCACATACTTTGGACACATGGCCAGGGGGGACTGTTCCTTGAAGAAGAACATCATAGTTGGGGTGAAGGGACAGCACAGGAGAGGGAGATTTCAGGTGAGATGTATTGACATAGTAACTGGGGTAATGGGGGTTGGTGTGTCAGAGTCATTAAGACTGGCTCAGGACAGGGCAGGCGTCAGAGCCACTGTACACAGGATTGCTTTGAGTCACAGGTGACTCGATAGCACGTAACAATGATAGCAACAGTGGGTAACAAAGACAATGTAAGTCCTATGATCACCTCAACTTATTGTAATTAAAGCTACCAGGTGCACAAGAATAAGTACCGCTGGGGAAACCCAGAGTCTTCCCAAGTTGAAAAGATGGAGCTTAAAGTCTTGGAAGACCAAGGTGGCTCAAGAAAGAGGAGATGAAAGAACCATATAAAGAGTGGAACTCCCTAATTATCAGTGGGAGGGACCCCTTTGAGGATTTAACTGACCACATATGTGTGAAGAAAGTACCTGAGGCCAAGCAAAGAAGTGTCTGAAAAGGCAGAGGGAACCTTAGCTGGATGAAAATAGTATGTATTCTCACTAGGATATCCCACAAATCTCTTAAATCATGAGGCACTGAGTAGAGCGATCCAGAGTCTAAATTAGTAATGGGGAATAATTATCTAGATATAAAATGCTATTATGACTGTACCTAATAAATATTAAGAGCAAAACTTGATGTGTAAACTATATCCGACAAAACTATCATTTAATAAAAATGATCTGTGAAAGGATCAAATTCTTTCCAGATGATTTAACTGCCTCTCAAAATAAAGCTTCAGAACATTTTTATGAATGCAAAATTGTTCTGTAAAAAAACAGCAACAACTAAAAAAGAAAAATTAATAATTATTGTGTCCAGTACAGAGCTTTCAATTTGGGTTGCATTCAAATGTCAAAAAACCAAAAATTCTCACCACTGAGTACAAACTGAAACTGTCAATGTCTTCATCTTACTTGGATTTATGATGAATACACTTGGCACCAGTATTTAGGAGATCAGGAGACAGACTGCACTGGGAAAGTCTATAGCCAGGGACCTCTCAAAATTATTATTTTTTTAAAAAAATTATTTTATTTTATTATTTTGTGTGTGTGTACCATCAAATCGGATCTGACTGGTACAGGAGGAGATTGACCTTCCTTTTCCAGCAGAGCATCTGGTGGATTTGAACCACGTATCTCTGGGATTGCAGTGCAGCTTCTTGCCACTAGGCCACTAGAGTTCCTTAACCTCTCAAAATTATTAAAGAGCAATGATGACAGTTTGAGCACTGAAGTGTATCTGATTCAGGTCTGCCCAGCATCTGAAAGCTGGACAATGAATAAGGATGACAAAAGACCCACTGATACATTGGAAGTGTGGTGTTGGAGTACTGAATATTCCATTGACTGCCAAAAGAACCAAAAAGATATGTCTTGGAGAAGACGCAGCCAGGGTGTTCCTTGGAGGCAAAGATGATAAAGCTTTGCCTCACATACTTTGAGAGAGTTGCTAAGAGGGACTATACCTTGGAGAGGGACATACTGCTAAGAAAGGTAGAGGGATGAGGAAGGAGAGGAAGGCTCTCAACCAGATGGATGGACATAGTGACTGCAGCAATCCGGATACCATATTCTTCTTCATAAAGTCCAACTTCTTGAATGATTTGCTCAGCAAAATATCAAGATGCAAGCAGAACATTAAAAAATGCACAGGAGCAAATCACTACCTAACTTGGGAGGACTGGAGAGCACTATGCTAAGTGAACTAACTCAGTTCCCCAAGGACAAATACTGCATAAGACCATTAGAAATAGATAACTAGTAAAACGAGTATGAGGATCTAAGGTGGGGAGTGGGAAGCACAGGGGTGAGGCTGGGTGGGGGGCGTAATCATAGGGACACACAATTTGATGGGTGGAGAGAAGTGTGGGTTAAGAAAATGAGAAAGATCTGGTGTGAAAAACAATGTATATGGAATTTATAAGTAAATAAGTATAAAATAAAAAGTTTGTATAAAAAAAAACCCTCAAAACAAAATAAAACCAGCAAAAAAATCCAGTAAAACAAAGCAGAAAAATTTTATAGTAACAAGAAAAAGCAATAAAACATTAAATATTTGAATTAGCAGAGACATTAAAATTAGTTATTATAGCTTTTTACTTCTTATATTTGTAAATTAGAGAAAATATTGAATATGGTTAAGTGAAGGAATGTAATACATAAAAACAACCTAAATCGAACTTTGTTGTGGGGTTTTTTTTGCACATATCATATTTTCCTTCATTGACAAAATATTTCATACTATTATCCCCATACGTTATGTTTTATAAAATGAATCACCACTGGAATATATCCACCATGATCCCTTCTTTTCAGGTCCCCTTAATTAAACTTTTACAGAGGAAAAAACAATGTCTAAAATAAATATTATACTAAGTGACAGTGACAGAGTGGACATTGCAGAAGTATTGAATAAATATCAAAAGAATGGAAGTAAAATAAAAATATGATAATTATTTAGGTTCTCTATTTTCTCTTGACCTGGTTTTGGAAGTTGTGTTTCTCTAATCATTCTTGTCCCCATTTCCTCTAATGTTTTAAATCTGTGCATAAATTTTTTTGTACAATCTTCTCAGAGTTCTTTTAATTTCCATAGATTTGTAATGATAGTCCTGGTTTTTTACCCCATCTGGATTTTGATAACATGTATCTTGTATCTTTCTTCCTCTCAGTGTAGCTAAAGGGTAATTTTACTGCTCTTTCCCCTAAAAACCTTTTTTGCTCCATCGACTTTTCCCTGCTGCTGTTCTCTCTTCTAGTTCATTGATTTCTGCTCTTCCACTTGCTTGGTTTTAGTTTGCTTGCTTTAGATTTAATTTGTATTTTTTTTTCTAGTTCCTAAAGGTTGAAACTTAGATTAATGATTTAAGGCTTTAAAGCTTTAGGTTTTCCTCTAAATGTTAGTTTAACTACATTCCACACATTTTGTCATTTTCATTTAAAACATTTACCAATGTACTTTATTTCTCTTTGACCCATGTCCCATGTTTTATGTGGAAGTAGATTGTCTTAGTTTCAATTATATGGATATTTCCAAGACTTCTTTTTGTTGTTTTTGTTGGTTTAAATATAATTCTGTTTGATTGCTTCTCAATGGCAAGAAAACAAAGATTCTTACCACTGGACCAACAGGCAGTGTTATGATGGATGCAGAGGAAACTGAAATTGTCAACAGCTTCATCTTGCTTAGATCCACAATTAATACCCTTGGTACCAGCAATCTTTAAATAAGGAGACACATTGCACTAGGAAAACCTGCAGTTTTTAATCTCTCAAAATTATTGAGGAGTAATGATGTTGGTTTGAGGACTAAGATGTGCCTGATTTAGGCCATACTTTTTTGGATTACTTGTTATGCTTCAGAGAGCTGGACAATGAATAAGAATGACAGAAGAAGACTTGACATCTTTGAGCTGTGGTGTTGGAGAAGAGCACTGAACATCCCCTGGACGGCCAAAAGAACGAACAGATATGTCTTAGAGAAGCCTGAATGCACTTTGGAGAAAAAAATGATGAGGCTTTGCCTCACATACTTTGGGCATGTTGCTAGGAGGGGTTATTCGTCGGGAGGAACATGATTCTGGGAAGGGTGGAGGGTCAGTGAAGGAGAAGAGGACCCTCAGTCAGGTGGATTGCACTGTGACTGCTGCGATGGGCTCTTGTGTGTCAGGAAGGGCAAGGATGGCACAGGATAGAGTGGGGTTCAGGTCTATTGTTCACAGAGTTGCTGTGAGTCGTACTCAGCTCGATGGCACCTAACAACAACAATTGGGGTTAAAGAACATAATTTCTTTCCTATTATTGCAATACTTATAAATACTTGTTTTATGACCAACAATTAAGATCTATCTTAGAGAATATTCTCTATGTGAAATGAGCATTATGCAGTCTGTGAGTGCAAAGTTCTATCTAGGTCTGCTAGACAGTTGTTGTTGTGTGCTGCTGAGTTGAGTACAACTCACAGTGACTCTATGAACGACAGATCTGAACCCTGTCCTGTCTTGTGCCATCCTCACAATCTCTGACACACTGACACACATTGCTGTAGTCACTGTGTCAATCCACCTTGTTGAAGGTCTTCCTCCCTTTTGATCACCCTCTACCTTTATAAGCGTGATGTCCCTTCCCAAGGAACAGCCTCTCCCAACAACATTTCCAAAGTATGTGAGACAAAACTTTGCCATTCTTGCTTGCAAGGATCACTCTGCCTGCACTTTTTCCAAAATACATCTTTGTTCTTGGGTTCTTTGGCACCACAGTTCAAAGGCTTCGTCTGTCATCCTTGATCATTGTCCAGTTCTCAAATGTGACCAAAGAGATCATAGCCTGCATGTTGCTCAAGTCTCCAATGCCCTTGCTAGGGTTCTCCCCACCCCCGTAGTTTTAAACAATGTTGAAAATGAGATATTGAAAATATCCGACTATAATTGTTGAGCTTTCTGTTTCTCCTCTCAAATCTGTCTGGTTTTGTTTATTATATTCTGAGACTCTGGTATTAGGCACATAAATATTAATGATTTTTATATTCTCCTGGATGAATTGATCCTATTATTAGTATAATATGTCTCTCCTTGTTTCTAGTAATATTTTTTCTTAAATCTCTTTTAGCTGATATTAACACAGCCCCGGAAGTTTTCTAAGGGCTACTGTTTGCATGGTATATCTTTTCCCATTTTTTTTTTTTACTTCAA